GCTGTCTTTTTTGAGGGAAAAAAGGTCCAGAGAAAAAGACTTCGTAAGAAATGGCCTAAACACCAGGGCTTTTTTCTTCTTTCTGTTTGTTTTCATTTCCCACCTTCCTCCTGCGGTGCGTGCTGAAATTTTATTTTATCGCGAGAAAGGTCCAGCCGTCCCGTTCCCTCGTCAACGGTGCTAACGTCAAAGTTAGGTACTCACGAGAGCTTTTCAGCTATATTTCGCTTTCACCCGCATATTTAGCAAGCTTTTCACCCCATGGGCATTCGGACCTATGACCTCTACGTCCAGCGGTTTACGAGGATACCACTAGACCACCGGGGCGACCGGCATACATGGGTTGGTCACAATCTTTCCTTCATGGCGCAAAACGCAAGATGTACCCACGGCACTGCATGCACTATTTGCAACTTTTTCCTGTGCCCGGTACCAACTGCTCTACATATTGCAAACGAGGTCCGCGTAGAACACAACGAAAACAGCAGTGCGACGGCCAGGGGTCGCGAACTGGACTGCTGTGCCCGTACAATACGAGCAGATGGCGGCCCAAGAGACGAGGTCGGTCATCTCCTTGGAACTTGCATGCAAAAGATGCTGCCAATGTACCGACCGAATTCGTGTATGATATTTTCTCGGAGATTTGGCAGAAGGTCGAGTTGGCGTTCATCTGGCCGCCCCAGCGACTGCGACTATTACTGCTGTCGCGTGGTGCAGGAAGCCGAGGAGCCGTCCCCGCTGTCGCACTCTTCACAGCAGCGTACCTACCCCGCAACGTATGCTTAGACTAATTTACGGGATTGCTGCGTCGGGCTTGCTTGTCAGCACCGGGTGTAGCTTGGCAGAAATTTTTACTCGCGTCTCAGAGGGTGGGAATCCTGTTTAGTGCGGGAGCGCGCTATCGCTTTGTGGTGTCGCCTGTCGCTCACCTCTGCGCAGGCTGACCTTCATCAGCCTGTTGACGGTGCCCTTCGCCACGATCCCAAACACCCCGCCGACCGTCATGGCAGTGATTCCCATCTTTGCACCGCTTCTCTTCTCTGCTCACGGCCGCAGTCGCACGGTGCAGATCCAACTCAACCTTTGACTAGAGATCAACTCCCTCTCGCAGATCCTGCTCCAAGTAGCTGCTCTCTCTGCTTTGTCCACCAATTCGTGGCACACGGCGGCAGCAGTTGAGTTGCCTCGGAGGGGTTTCAGGAATCGGGAAGCTTGCTGTATGGCGTGGGTGTGGTTGGTTTGCATCGAGTATTAGTCGAGGGCCCCCCTCAGTCGTTCCGAAGCCACCCGCAGACCCGCAGCCCCGACAAGCGACATAGCAAAAGAGGTAGAACTATGTTTGCTGCACGTGCCATGTCGAAGGCTGCGGCACCCGCAAGGGCAGTCGCGTCGCGAGCGGCGCCGGCAGTCCCCAAGCGTGGAATGGCGGGCGGAGCAGCTCCGGAGTACACGGGCTGGGAGGCCCAGATCAGGGAGAAGCTTCCGAAGGACGAGCACGTGAGTATCCGTGGCAGCGACGCAGGGACGGAGACAAGCAGCTGCGGGAAATGGGGCGACGAAACACTCCTGTTGATCTCCGGTTGCATCGCCTTGCTGCTCTGGGCGGCCCTGTGTTTTGTTTGTGCCGAACCATCGCGGCGGAACGGCATGTCCAAGTGCACGTTTCGGAGGTTCCTTGCGACACTCGAGTCTACGTAGTAATGTAGGTATTTTCATATAGGGCGTGACAGGACGAGGGGACTCATTGACTTATGTCCCACGAAGAGGAGGGTGCAAGCTCAATCGTATCGACCTGTCGAAAAGATTCCGTGGTGGCCCCTCACTTGTGAGATCGGAGCTGCGGTTCACCGCACTGCCGCTGATATTAAGATCAACACCCACACCCCCTGCTGTGCAGTACTGCTGTGTGCACGCTCACGAACAAGTGATGCAGCATCAAACCTCGACACTCGGTAGCGAGAGCGGATTCGACTCATCCAAAGTGTGCTTGGTAGACTCAGCTCAACCTTGCTACATTGTTTTCGATCGTTGTTGGCTTCGCCGGGAGTAACACCTGTTTGCGAGATCATGCGTATTAACCCGTGCTTGCATCTATCTGCTCGACGATGGACGATGCCCCTTTCGGGGTGCACGGCATCCGGGAGAGAGCTTCCTCCGTCAACCCTGATTGCTGGGACCGGTGGACGCACCCAGCGGATATTGTAGCACTTTTGCAGAACATCTAGCATTCATTTTCATTCAGATTTATGCTCAAGCATAAAATATTTACTACAAGGTGTAGAGGTCAGGCCCAAGATTTTTGCGCACAATTGATACGAAAAAGCAGTCGCCGAGATCGTGTACCGTAATGGTGCGGCAAAACTGCGGTAGTCTCTACCTTGTCTCAAGCCGTATGACGACTGCTGTTGTTTCAGGAGCAGGCGGCCTAATGCACCCTTTCACGCGACTACCCTCGCCTCTCTTGTGTATGCCTTGTCCAAATTATTGCATGTGCAAATAACGTCTTGATATAATCTGGAATATCTGAGGAAATTCGGACACCGGACACCCATTGGACGGATACCTGTCTTTAACAGCAAGGAGGCAAGGGCTCGTTTCCAGTTCCCCTGTTTTTCTTTCTCGAAATGCGCGTCTACTACTCTGGTTCCGCTCAGGAATCCAGCCTGTTTCCAACATGAAACCGCTATTCCCAGGGTGCGCGTTAGGGTCTATTGCCGCTGTAAGTGTGACCCGTCCCTTCCATGCCGTGCGCCTGTCATATTCATCGGATGGTGCAGGTGGTGGTTGCCATCAGCGGGTTCTACGTGGGTTTGTACGTGCTAGTCAAGGGAATTTCGGCGCTCTTCTCGTCCCCCGAGAAGGAAGTCGGTGAGAAGTCACGACAGAAGGGCACTCAGTGCTTTACATACAGCTCGAGTATTAAACTACTCGTAAGGAGAAGTTTTTCTTGTGACCAGCAAGCTTCTGCCTTTGCAACACATCTGGAGGGTCAGACAATCAATAATTTTTCAGCGGGACATGTTTCATAGCCCGATGCGTTGATGCGGTGGTTCAAGATTGAAAGGCTGGTGGACCTTGTGTGTGTACGTTGAGTGTTCCTCTTGCTTGCGTTGCGTTCGCACGTTTGCCCGCCGGGATGATTGAGCGAAGACGTTGCGCAAAAGGACAGCTTTGCCGTACGCGCGCTCCTTGCTGATGTCGATAGGCGCAGGCAGTCTTTGCACAACTGTTTACAAGCGTTTCGTAATATCTCTCCCGCTCCTGCCCCCCGCCCTCCGTACCCATCTATGCCCCCTCTTCGCCTGTGCACGCGCGCGCTACTATGACGGGCTCCCTCGCAGCTGCCCCCGTCGTTGCTTCATCCGCGACGAGTTCTGACATCCCCGACGGATACGAGGACAACTTCTGGCAATGGCTCGAGGGCGCGGGGAACATGGAGAAGTACCTTGCGACAATCGACAAGGCTCAGTAGAGACAGAGAACAAGAGGCCGGGGGGGGGCACGTGCTTATCGGTTGAGTTCCCTGTCCTTCATGGAGCTTTCGTTGGGCAATGGCTGAAGTACGGTCCAAGCCCGAGCATTGTGCTACACAAATAAATAGCAATGCACAAATAAATAGTGTATCGCTGCGCGAGAAGAGGGGCGAAGTGGTGGGGGTTTACCCGGTAGGCATGCAACGGATGGAAACGGCATGCGTCCGGGGGGGAGGGGGGGGGGGGGGGGGG